CCACGGCTATTGGCAATAACTCGGGACCAGAAGCATCCCACCTGATACTCACACTTTGCTTCTTTTCCCAGGCACTGCTTTGTCTTTCGCCCTCCCGTTGCTTCCAGGCCATCAGCCCAGGATTGTTGCTGTCGCTTTCTCCTTGCTTTTCCCCTCTCGTTTGACTCTTAGCACCCCGGCGTCTTTTCTTTCCGCCAACTGTTCACATCTTTTCACAGTGCTCCCCTAACCATCCCTGCCCACTTGAAGAATTGCTTCAGACCTTCTTCTACAGGCCCTTTGCCCGAGAGGCTCGCCAGGCATTTCGAAATGGCCTCTCCTCGCGCCTCGCCCCTGGCGAGAAATAAACACAACACCACCTGCTTTAACCAGAACACCATAACGAACCAACAAAACAAACGAAAACCCAGATACCGTTACAAAAAAATATCTAAAAAAATAACAATAATATACATACACTTAGTAAAACACAAAAAAGCAACATAACACAACACGAAAAACGAAAAAAAAAGAGAAAAAACCACCAAAAGATAAAAAGCAAAAAAACAAAAAATAGAAAAAAAAAACAAACACCAAAAAAATAAATCAGAAAAAAAAAAAAAAAAAAAAGAAAACAAGACATCACGAAAACAAAATAGAGATACTCAGCAAGACCACTGGGGAAGGGCAATATAATATAGAAAGAGACGTTAGGCACACAAAACCAACACTTACAACAGTTAAACCATAAGGTTGGAGCACCAAGAGAGACATTACCGGTCAATCAAAAAGGCACGGGAAATACAGAGGAGCGCCAAAAACAGAGACCTATAGGATCAAGAAGACAGAGAGGAATCAAATGATGGAAAAGGTCAAAAAGTCAAAAGGTCGAATGAACGAACAAATCCACCTCTGAAAAATTTCTCACAACATCCTAAGCGACAACCCTGAGCCCCTCAAAAACACACAAACGCCGGACGCGTACGCGCGTCCCTCCAGTCAGGCCGCCGGGGCACGTTGCCCGCGGCACCCCGCCGCCATCGGCTCTGTTCCCCGCCGCCACCAAACCTACATCGCCCACAAGTTAACCCCCACGCGCGTCAACTAACGGGGCAGACCCTCGGGCAATCTTTCTAAGCTCCATTCAACCCCCATTTTAATCACTTGCGAGACAACAAATAGCCAAATCCCCGCATGTCACCCTTCCGCCGCGCACCGCCCACCTGCAAACAACCAAGTCTGGAGAGAACGATGGCTGGACATCCTAAGAGAAAAGACCACTCTGGCATCTGGTGAGATGCCATCGACCTCACCCACGTACACTCACGGAACTGTGTGCGGCAGATACTCCTCGCTGCGTTGTCGACTGCTGGCCTTCCTCCTTGTCTCGTACCTCTTCGTATCGGTATTTCCCGGTATGCTGATCGGCACTCGGATACGCCCCGCCTCTCCACATTGTTTTTACTGAGTTTGCTGAAACACTCTTCCCCTAAGACGCTGCCTCACATACTCGCTCAGTCGCATAAACTGTACCCCTCTAGCACCGCTCTAACCTGTCCGATGTTTTTCAACCTATAGTACATCTGCAGCTCACCTTGACAAGACATGCCGTGGATGATGGCTCCTGCCAGGTAATGCTGGCGAGCTCCTGTTTCAACCGCTGTGCCGTTATTGTGAGAGCTTTGAAGAAGGGACTTACGCTGCAGGTACTAGAACGTTTCGCTTTTCAAACTCCTCTGTTTCCACCCTCGCAAGTTGCCCTTGTCCTGTATGGTTAGGATCGCAATGTCACGCCCACCGCGGCATCTCATCACTCCGCAATTTCTAGAGAAAGTTATACATATACCCGAACCAATCGACCCAAACGCACCCACAGGCCTTTAAACACCTGCAGTTAGGTAGAACCACTTGCCCGTGCAAGCCCCTACCATATAGAAAAGGTCCGAATCACACCTTGTTCTCCTTCGAAAAAATGTTTGGTGCACATACACATGACAGTCGGACTGCCATGTTCCTCCACTTCTCAGATCCATACTGGTCTCATTCCTTGCTGGATTGTTGGTGGAGGGCACACCGCCCAAAAAGATAGATAATGTCAACTCTGCTTCACCCTAGAGAGGAAGATTTGATTTCCTCGTGTCAGAATCACTCCTCTGCAGGAGAGAGCTTAAGTCGCCAAGATTATCAGTGTTTAACCCGTTCAATCACCTAGCACACCGTCTTTCTCGAATATATTCACGTTATAACAGGGTGCAGCTTTCAGTTTTCTCTTGCATCCATCGACAAACCAATAATTTCGACTTTTAGATCCGCCTGGATCAAAAGTTCGCATCGTGCGACAGCCATATCCGGTTGTCCCCTGGAACAATTATGCGCACTTTACTTCCCGGTCTATTTTTAATTCAATGCACGATAAGACACTAAGTGTGGCACTCGAGGTTCCGCCCACCTGAGTTGGTTGCCCACGTTGACCTCAAAGCCTCAACAACGCTCTATTGTGACCTCAAAAATTGATTTTAGCTATAATCTCTCAAGCAATGAACTTGTTCGATTCAGGTTTTCCACACACTGTTTGCGGTGTTATTGAGAAACCTACGATGAAACCGATGAAGAGTGACACTCATCATTAACACGCCAGTAAGCATTTCATCCGGTCATCAGAAAAATTAATGTTCCAATTATTGTTTTTCGCTGTCTTTTGAGAATACTTTCAGGTCTGCCGTTGGATGGCAGTGAGACGACGTGACATCTTTACACTGCAGACATACCGTTACACCCACCATTTCAGATAGTGAAGGAGAAGGGAGCAGAGAAGGAACACAGGTTTTGGGAACTGTTTACCCAACTAATGATTCATTTCATATTTCAACAGAAAAATGCTACCATTCTCATAAACATAAGCCTACATTTTGAGGCGCAAATTTTCCCAACTGTGTGGTAGCTTTGATGCGTCATCAACTTCCTTCATGCGGGAGGACAAACAACCGGGAAGTGACAGCGAGATGGCTTTGGGACCCCGCCTGGCCCACGGCAAGAGATCTGTACCATCCCACTTCTCATTCTAGGTGAGTAATATCTGCTTTCAAATAGTATTGAACATAGCAGTTTATACACCTGATCAGCCATAACATTATGACCACCTGGGCACCCCTGGTGGTCCATAATGTTATGCAGCCCCATACCAACAAACTGTGATGTATTGTGTGTTCTGACACCTTTCTATCAGAACCAACATTAACTTTTTCAGCAATTTGAGCTACAGTAGCTCGTCTGTTGGATCGGACCACACGGTTATTTACTTTACCTGTCAGTGGTCATAATATTATGGCTAATCGGTGTATTAAGCTATTTTCTCTATGCAGTACAGCTGTGAACACACTGTTGAGTTGTTTTAGATTGGAATGTTGTAAAAGAAACAAACCAAAGGAAATCTAAGCAAAGATTGTTCAAAACTACATTTTCTTTTGACACTGCAGAGTTCTACATCGACGCTCTGGGCATCCTCCACATTGGCTCCTGTAGTGATGTCATAGTAAGCCACGCATCAAAGATCAAACTACCCTGGAGTAAAACAGACACAGAAAAGGCTTACGACAAATTTCGCTATTCTTCTTCCAAGACAAATAGTAACATGCATAATGAAGTCTACTACTTCAAGAACAGGTTTAAGTGCATGACCAGTCAGTGAAACCCAGGGATTCCGTGTGTCTGTTTACTGCTAATGTGAGGAAAAAAGGGAAATAAGTGTTGGCAAAGAGAAGAAGTCTACTGTTGTAGTACTTGCTGTTAAACAGATTGGGTGGACAGATTTAGGCACTTTTTCAAGTCACTAATGTAAGAGTACTTACAATAATGGAAATTCACCACAAGCAACTTTGTCTGCTTAGTGTTTTTTTTTTTATTGTAATAAAATCAAATATTGTCCCATTCCATGGATCTTCCCATTCTGAAATTGTAACAACATTGCTGGTCCCTCTAAAGAAATGAGCCGCCACAACTGAAAACAAGCCCAGTCAAATGAAAAACACAGTTTATTAGTTATTACTAACTTGCTATTTATCATGGTTTTGCTACTCAGGGAACATGTCATGTTCATAAAATGTTTTTGAATGTATTGCGAGGCTCCAAAGAACAAAGTGACGAAGTGGTGTGAGTATGTATTGCTGAGCAAGCAAACTAGGTTGTAAGGTAAAGGTTGTAAACTGAGTATTTATATTACACTGCTGTGCAGTTTCTGGAGTTATCATTTGCACTTTGCTCTGTTGCTCTGTTAGTCAGACTGAAATTGAATTCCCTTTCTGCCATATATATATATGAGAGAGAGAGAGAGAGAGTTCACTCTTTTATTTTTTATTTTTATACACAGGCTGAAATACACACTTTATGCACTTGTGGACATGCATCAGGGAGAGAGATGGTGGATTGATGGGCTGCCACGTTAGCAGCGCCCATGAGCAGTGTCTAGGGGTTAGGTTGCCTTGCTCAAGGGCACATTGGC